CACCAGGAGTGCGAGGCAGCAGAGCGACGAGGCACTGTGGAATGGCTGTGCGGGGCCGTACAGGGGGTGGTGTCAGCCTCGCGGCTGGATTTGGGAACTTGCTTCGGGGCCGTGAGGCAGCGGGGAACAATTACAGCCTCGCTTGTGCTGCTTCTCTGCTGGCTCCGGATCGAGGTTCGAGGATCGCGGTTCAAGGTTCTGGACCGCCGGGAGGAACAAATTTCGGCCAAAACTGCCTGCGGCGCGTCGTCTGCTATTTCCATCCGGAAGCGTAACACCCAAAGTGGCCGAACGCCCCCGCAGCCAGCTCATGTGGCAGCGAGGCAGGCTAGGCGGGCAGGGCGTCCCCAGCGGCCGGGGTTCGCCTCGCCCGCCCGGCCCGTCAGGCCCTGGCCCGTCAGAACGTCACGCCGTCAGGCAGGTGTTAAATTATTTTCACCCACTCGCTAAACTGCGCGTGGGAGATGAGCGGCCACACGGGCCAACGGCGTCGTCCGTGTGGGTGGGGGCCCCGCCTGCAGACTTTGTCGTGATGGCCGACTCTGTTCGACCGGCTGAATTCGATAGCAGCCATCGAAAATTCTGTGCCTAGCCAAAAGCTGGTTGCGAAGGCCGGGCTTTTGGACGCGGAGAACGAACCCCAGCTTAGTATCCGGTCGCAGCTGTTGGTTGAGGGCGTACCGGATTTTCGATCGCAGCTATCGAGTTCAGCCTATCGAACAGAGTTGATCTCCACGACAGTCTCCTTCCCGGACGTGGCGGCGAGTCCACACGGCAGGCCGTGGCAGGCCGTCGGCGTGCGTCACTGCCCGCTTCGCGCCGCTTCGTGTCGCCCAGGCGTTGAACCGAGTCTGGCCGCCTTTAAATACCCCGAAAGCCTGAAAGCCGCCGTCGTCGCGCCGCGATAAGGTTTCTCTGGGCGCCCCGCCGACCCCACCTCCACTGGCCCGGCCCGGCCCGGCCCGCGTGCAGCCCGCGGGTCAATACGGCCGCGGAGGATGGAGCGCTATTTTGGAAAGTCCGTCGAGGGGGCGGCGCGACGCTGACGGTGACGCGCAAGCATCACGCTCCGCGCCGTCCGCGGTGACGCCGCGGGGTCGTTGTCTCGCCCCGACCCGTAAAGCGACAAAGGGATGCCGGATAAGCGCGGCGTCGCGGCCCGCACCACCGAAACAGCTCGCCGTCGTGGATCGACCGGGAACAACAGCGGAAGTTTTTTCTGGCGGCTGGTGCCTTGATTGCAGGTAGGCGTAGGACGTGCCACAAAAGTGTTTTTGATGGTTTAAGGCGAGCATTATCCCGCACCTTGGGTCCCTGCAGAGAGACACACACACACACTCACACACACACGGCCGCGCGGCTGAACAAACATCCTGCCTGCCTCTATGCTGGCCATGCGCCGTGCTGGCCGGTCCACGACACTGGGCAAACACTCCATCCCGTCGTCCACTCCACGTCCAGCACTCCATGCAGGCCAGCCCGGCGGGGCCAGCCGAGCCAAGTGAGGGCATTTTGGTGTTTCAGTGTGGGGGAAGAAGAAGCGAGGGAGGATGAAGCGTGAATCGAGGATGCGACGAAAATGACTGTCCGGACTGTCCGCCCCGCTGGACCTGGAATCGGAAAGGAGGGTCGGGGGCCTCGCCGGGGGCAGCCCGGCCCGGCAGTCGCCGCGGGGCAGGGCAGCAGGCAGGGCCGCGCCGGCAGCGGCCAGAGGGGACGGGGTGGCGCAGCCGAATCAGCAGTTGCAATGCGCGGGGCTGATGACCGCTGATGGCCTGGCCTAAATTATGGGAGGCCAGAAAAAGCGGCGTGAAAAAGTTTGGCGGCCCGAACGGGTGCATTCGACTAGCCCCACCCCCACTGCTGTGTGTGTGTATGTGTCTACTTTTTTCTGGGCGGTCGACGCCCCCCGCTCTAACTGCAACTTAGTACGCCGTATTAGCCCGGCTAGGCGGGCGGGGCCCGACCGCTTTCGGCCGTCGGGCCGGGAACTAACTTCCACTCGACCTGCGCGGCCGTCCGGACGGTGAGGCCGTGAGGGCACTGCGAGGGGCACTGGTGTGTGTGGACCTGGCCGGCCCCGCCGTCTTCTCGCCCGCTCATAAAACGGCCGGCCGCTCCATAAGGCTCGCAACCCTTGGCTCCCTTGGCCAGCAGGGCCAGCAGGGCTGCCAGGGGCAGCGAGCCTCGGCCGCGCCGGTCTCGGCCCGGTCGGAATGCGCACCAATCTCAGCCACCCCCAGCAGCGGCACGGCTCGGCACGGCGCGGCACGGCGCGGCAAGCCACTGTCGGGGAGGCGACTCGCACTCCAATATACCTTGGACCCCTTTCCGATTGGCGGACGACCGGAAGACGTTTTAGCCCGGAGAGAGTTTAGGCGGCGCCGAGGCCTATTGCAATGTCTGGATTAGACGGCCGTTCATTTCGACGCAGTTCAACAAAAGAAGGCAATTCCACTGTTTGTCCACCTAGTTTGCCACTTTGTCTCCGAGTGGCGGGGCGGGGCGGGGCGTACCGAGGCGGGGCGTGCCGGAGCGTGCATGAGTAAACAGGACAAACGAGCTCTCTGTCCCGCCGCCTGGAATTGTAGAGGATGGACACAGTAGACTCGTTTGTACACTGCTTGCTTCTCTTGTGCATTTCAGTGTCGCTTCGTCCTGGGCGCCTTCCAGGTGCGCGTGGCGAGCCTTTTAAAGTCGGATGTCGAGTCTTAACTTGACGCAAATCTGCCATTTTTAACTTTTTTTTGTGAAATTTGTCCTTGGGGCGTATAACGTTTTGCTTCCAGCCGGTGCCAAACTGAAAGACGCAGCTTCATTCACTCTCCACTTGGCCCTATTACTTAACCTCTCTCGCTCGCTCGGCCCCGCACAGCCCCAAATTTCTCTTCCCCGCCGTATCACGGCCAGAGGGAGACAGCGACACACCAGCTAATAAAATGGAGCAGCCCCCCGCACCGCGGCGTGCCGGTGGCGTGCCGAGCGTTCAGTCGCCCTTGTGACGTATCATCACTTTGGGGCCGCGATAAGAAGGGCGGTGCCCCTCTCCCCCCCCCCCCGGCCTTGTTACAAAAAGGCGCATTTTTGCTGCCGGCTCTCTGTTTTCCCGCGCCAATTATGACAGTGATGTCTGCCTTGCCTCTGGCCGCCACTGGCACTGGCCGCCGCTGCCCCGCGGGGATGTTTTCACGCACGCGGTAACGAATTGTGCTTCGGTTTTCCAGCTGCCGGAATACCACGTCTGGCGGAACACGAAAATAATACGATGGAAATCGGAGCGGCGCGCACCTCTCGCGGGCCCCATATATTGCCAATCCGGAACAACAATAGTTGATCCTGTCCAATTGAGCGCGCGCCCCGCGATACCTAGCCCCAATAATCCGGACAAATCCGATCAGCGAACAGCTGCGGGGGAAATGTTTCGACAGTCGTCCATCCATCGTCTTGACGTCCACACAAAGTTATCCTTAGATTAGACGCTGCGTGGCTGCGTGGCCCAGCAAGTAAAGCACGAAGGCCGAGGCAGCCGAAGGGGTCCAGGGTCCGCCGCCCCGCCGCCCGGCCCCAGCCTCCAAAGGCCCAAAGACGTGGGTGGGACCATGTAATAGCGCACGCACGGCGCAAATTACCGTCTGGACCCAGGCAGGGCTGGCAGCCAGTCCCTCCCCGACCGAGCAGCCGGCCACCATCAAGTTATGGCCGCCCCGCTGTGTCGCGCCGCTGCACTGCAAACTGCATTTGTCAAAGGTCAGCGTGCGCCTTGTTTTCGAAGCCCGCGTGAAATCCTGTACAGTCACCTGCACTAACGAGTGCGCTGCGTTCGACCTGGTTGAAGAAAGGGCGGGGAAGGACTGCCTCCAACTTTGACCCCAATCCGAGGCTTCGTCCTTTCACGAGCCGCACTACTGATTGCTCACGAAGCGCCCCGAAAGGTCAATCCGAGCATCATAAGGAATGTATCCCCGAGTCGAGGGCGCCGCGCGTTCGAGTGCCCCGAGTGCCCCAATCCCAAACGAGTGGTTCGGACCTTCCAATCGGTCGGGGGCTGCGGGGCCACGTCATAGGCCGCGAAATAATGACGAGAAAAGGAAAACGGATGCTGGATTTCGGTGGAAGGAGGCTGGGCCCGGCGGGTCGCATTTCGGATCGTGGGGATGATTGTGGTCGCGGGTCGGTCGGCTCGCCGGTCGGCCATTACCGAAGGACGATCAGCAAAACACGTAATGCGCAGAGCCATTATGGGAAGGAAAGGGAATGACGAGAAGGAGAGAATTATTAGTGAGATTGGGAAAGGTAAGGGTTTCCTGGAAGCGGCCCACGCAGGAGAGATAATCGATGGCCCCCTTCCCGTGTCCGCCGTGTCCCCTTTGCCCCGACATTCTAGCCAGTGTTCCGCTCGTGTGTGCTACACATTCAAAAAGGAAAATAAAATTGTTGCAGTTAGGAAGCGTGAGTAGTTCTAAGCATTAATGGCGATAGCATAGCTAAAGTATGTGGAAAAACGAAGCAATTTTGAAAAGTGCACTAGAGAAAAAATCTTGTTGTGTTGGTTTCCCCTGTGACTGTCTCTGCTGCGGTACGCCTCTCTCTGGTCGGTTGCCCACCATCGGCCGCCAGCCGAGCCAACGAGCAGTGTTTTGACACATGCCGCGGATGCGTCCGTAAGCCGATGATGGGCAATCCAATTGCGACGTGCAGCTGGTCCATCGTTTTCACGCTCCGCTGACGATGCTGGTGCTGCTGGTGCTGCTGGTGCAGGGGTCGTTGTGACGGTCCGCTGGATGCTTCGAGGCCTTCACTCCTCCGGGGACAAACTGGAGTAACCAGGCAAAACCACGTTAAAAAAAAGAAAAAAAACTTTTTAATTAGTTAGAAAAAAAGATTTTTGCTAGTAAACGTACTTTTTTGGGGGTTTTGCATGATTTTTCTAACGTTGCATGGATAACGGTCATAGGCATGGCAAAAAAACAGGAAAACAAAAGTTCAGATTCAATTTGGGCTTTAATTAAAAATCAACAACAAAAATGTACAACAAAAATATATTTATGTATAGATATTAAAGATTTGCTTCGTATATTATTTATATATAGATATAAAAATAGAAAAGTAAGAAAAGAAGGAAGAAGACTTATTTTGCACAATGTACATCAAATTAATCGTGTTCATAATTAATAATTTAAGACTACATTACTGACTAACCTTTGGTTTTCAGCTGGTAAATTAAAGACCTATTACCGCAAGTTTTAATTTGTGTACTGCACAATTTGGCCGAAAGGAAACTGTTCAAACTTAAATCAGTTGAATAAAAAAAAAAAAAAAAACTGCAAATTTTGGCCCTCTTACTCCTTTATATTTATCCTTTACACATCGAGATCCAGTCCTTAAGACACGCTTTTGTGCCACTACGATTCAATATACACGACAATACTGTACGTACTGTACAATCAGACATAGTGCAGGTATCACGCATGGAAATTTTATGCAGAACTTATGCAAAACTTAAAAACTTGACAGATGAACAAAACCATAACTAAGAATCTTACCAATTAAGAGAGTTGCAAAATTAAGGGAGATTTCAGTCGTTATCTGTATTCTAAATTGGTAAATGAGTGCGTCTATCTACTTTATAGTACAAGCAGGGAGGGGGAGGGGGGAATTCAGCAAACAAATAAAAGCATGAGAGAACTTTAAATGCATAATGAATCCCATGCGAAATACCGCGAATAAGTTATGGGCACACTAAAACAAAAACTTGTACAAGTCAAAATTCCCCTACTCATGGCTGACAACACTCCAAGTAGTCTATTATCACACAAGTCACAACGGCAATGAGAAGTTGAACACATAATTATCTATCTCAGAACATTCAAGTACTTGTGTACATTCATTCTCAGTCTCAAATAATTGTATCCAAGACAATGTCTTCTGTTTGCATATTCAACCATTTCTTTTTTAAATAAGTACAAAGGGTAGCGGTAAGATATGTTTCATTGAATGATCTAATCAGTAACCTCAGTACATTATTTCCAGGCTTGTAAACACAGCAGAAAGTCACTTTAGAAAGCAGCAAATGTATTTTCTAATAGCTCTTTCTAAGTCTTGTCTTTTAGATTGACTGAGGCTGGGAGTTAAAGCAGGCACAGAAGCCTGAGCAACTAGTTTTATTTTCACGCCCTGTGCCTGTTGGAAGTGCAATTCGGGACAGTGTACACTTAGGAAGACATTGGATTGAATTAAATGTCTCTCTATCTTCCTTAAAAATTCAGTGATGACAATGGAGACTATGTAGAATTCACATTAAAATGAAGTCCGCTGAAGCAAACAAGAACATTTCTCGCGCGATTGATTTTTACAGAATGTACAATAAGGTACAAGATGATTTACAGGACTCCGAGAAACTACCCAGCATTGAATATTGATATTTGATAGAGGAGTGCTTTGGTTGCCGTTTGATCAAAGAGATCCGATCAATTCATTAACCTTCACTGGCAAAACTTAAACCGGGTTTACAAGTCTGCTTTAGACAATTCCACTCCCTACTCTGCCCTACCAATTACAAAACAACACAATCCACGAAAGGATTCCTCAACATTCCACGTGCTATATCACAGTGAGCTCCTTTGTGAAGGTCACAAAGGGATATTTGGGAGGACAAAAACTAAATAAAGCTCTAGGCCAAGAGTTCGTGCATCAGTTCGAATGCACCAGTCAGTACTTATGCAGTATTTTAGAGAGCTCTTTTGCATTTCAAGGGGAAATGTGCATAAAGTCTTAATAATTTGGCAAGCCATTGAGCTGCTGCGAATTTGGGGTCAAACATGTGTTTGATCAATACTGAATCAGGTAAAGGAAAGACTGGACACATACCACAGCACTTAGCAAGGAGCTTTCAGTTGTTCGTTTTTACCTTTCACAGTCTCAGACATCCGTGCCGCAGCCTTCCTGGTATCCTTCATCTGGAGAGTTTCTATTGCTTGATAACACTCGCTTCAAGGCGGTCACAGGGGGTAGCACTGGCACTCCCCGTTGCCACACACGCAATGTCTTGGCATTGGGCATCGGGGGGTGGGGGTGGGGGCCGGTGGGGCTGGTGGCGGTGGGGCTGTGGGCGCCCTCTGCCTTCTCCAGGATGGGCAGCCCGTAGTCCGGGGGGTAGTCCACCACGTGGGGGAGGGGGTGGCCGTGCGGCCGCGGCAGCGTGCGGCTGCGGTACTCCAGGTCATCCTCCGACTCGCCGCCCATGCTGGCGCCGTCCCCGATGATGGGCGTCTTGTCGGAGGCGTCGTAGTGGAGGCCGGCCGCCGTGGAGCTGGTGGTCCGCCTGATGTAGTGCTCGGGGGACTGCGTGTCCCAGATGCCGGACGGGTACAGCGAATCGCAGCCTCCTGCGCGGCTGTACTCCCCGCTGCCGGGCCGCGGCATGCCCCCCATGGCCCCCAGCGGCCCCGCCGGGTTGCTGGTCCCCAGGGGATGGCCCAGGCCGCCCAGGCCCAGCACGTGGCCGTTGCCGAGGGGCGCGGGTGGCGGCGGGTTGAGCCGGGTGTCGTTGATGAGGTCCGGGTTGGAGGAGGGCGGCGAGAAGTGCGTGGCGCTGAGCACGCTGCCGTGCCCGTTGTAGTGCGTCGTCGTGTACGATATCTCAGCCCGCCGGGGCGGCTTCTGGATGGGGTTGTTGGACATGAGCGAGTCCGAGGTGACAGTGGTGCGCTCGGAGGAAGAGTCCACGACGGCCGCCTTGCAGTTGGTGGTGACGGTGTTGCCGTTCATGGTGGCCACGACCTCGAGCTGGCCGGGAGACTTGGTCTCGGAGGCGGGGGCTTGCGCAGCCGCACCAGCAGCACCAGGATGACGAGCAGGATGAAGAGGATGAGGACGATGAGGGCGGCGCTAAGGCCGGCGATCTGGCCCGACCCTAGCGTGGAGATGCCGGCCAGGCGCATGGACACGTGCAGGGTGAAGTTGGCCTCGGCGCTCCCGGCGCTGTTCTCGGCCACGCAGTAGAACTCGGACGAGTCCGTCTCCTGGGCGTTGGTGAGCACCAGGGCGGACGTCTTCTCGAACGTGCCCTCCTCGAACACGTACACGCGCTGGTACGGGCTGAAGGCCGAGTTGTTGACGAGCAGGCGGCCGTTCCAGTACCAGTGGATCTGGGCCTGCGGCACGCCGCCCACGCGGCAGTACACCGTCGCGTTCTCGCCCGTCGTGGCCTCCACGTAGCGGCTCACGGGCAGGATCTCCGGCTTGCAGGCGAAGTCGTCCACGTGCAGCTCGGCGAAGGTCTTGTTCTGCACGCGGTGCGGGCCGCTGCTGCACAGGGGCGGCACGCCGTAGGGGATGTTGTTGTTGGTGAGCCACAGCTTGGCGGCGCGCAGGTGGCAGTCGCAGTGCCACGGGTTGTCGTGCAGCTCCACGCCGTGCAGCCGCCGCAGCCGATCCACCGTGTGCGGCTGCAGCACGGAGAGGTGGTTGCCGTTGAGCCGCAGGGACTCCATCAGCTCCACGCCCTCGAACGCGTTGGGCGCGATGTACTGCAGCTGGCACTGCGACAGGTCTAGCTTGACCAGCCCCGGCACCGTCTTGAACGCCTCCCCCTCCAGCTTCTGGATGGGGTTCTTGGCGAGGTTCAGGTCGCGCAGGAAGGGCATGTCGTTGAAGGTGGCGGAGGGCACGGACGTGAGCAGGTTCTCGCTGAGGTCCAGCTCGACCAGGTTGGTGAGGCCCTGGAAGGCCCGGTCGTCGATCTGGCCGATGCGGCAGCTGCGCAGGTACACGCGCTGCAGGTTGAGCAGGCCGTCGCGCACGAAGCGCTCCCTGGGCAGGATCTGGAGGTTGTTGCCGGACATGTCCAGGACCTGCGTCTCGGGGTCCAGGCCGTCCTGGATGGTGATGAGGTTCTGGTTGACGCACTCGACGGCCTGCTTGCCGCCCTTCCACTTGCACTGGCACACCGAGGGGCAGCTGGACGCCCCCGCCAGCACCGCGAGGGCCGCGAGCCACGCCAGCGCCTGCAGCAGCGCGAGCCGAGGCCTTGTTCCGGCCATTCTGAGGGCTCGCTACGCGGCTCGCTACCGGCCCGAGCGTTCAGGCATCGACGAACAAACAAAAAACACTGCACCTTGCGCACTTTTCCCCAGGCGATTTTTTCGCAAAGTAAAAATGAAGCACACTGATCACTTGTCACTTGCGTCCCGGGGGACGGCACACACGACACCGGTGCAGGCTCGGTGCATTATCCACGGTCACTCTGCGGCGAGAGCGCCCTGTCTCGAGTTGCACTCGCACAAGGAAACAAATTCCAGAAAAATCACTGCACGTCACGTGTGGTAATCCATGTATCCATTCATCCACTGCGGGGCGCTCGGTAATCCTTGGGGTGTTGGCGGTGGTCGAGAGCGGCGGTCGCTCTGTCTCTCTCACTACGCGTGCTTCGCGGCAGGACGGCGCGGTGCCTTGCCGGGCGATACGGAGTACGGGCAGCGGCGCGGCCGGCGACGTCCTTTCTCAATCGCGGTCTGTGGAGAACTAAACTTGGCCGAGCGCTCGGCTCGGCTCGGCGGCTCGGCGTTCGGCTGCCTCTGCGGCTCCGGCCAGCTTCGGCACATTTCCGACCGGAGCCGAGCGCGCTCGAAGTCTCCTTCCGGCCCCTCCGGCCCCCACCCCCACCCCACCCCCACCACATGGCACCACACGGCACGGCGCGCGCGCTCTCTCTCACTCACTCTGTCTCACTCGGGGCCGCACGTAAGACACTTTGATTCTCCAGGCACGCGGGAAGGTCCTGCAGCCGTTTTTTTCGCGGACAGTGAGCATCAAAGGGACCCACTTGAAAGGGATTTGCCGCTCGCGTGTCTCGAAAAATTTCAGCCCAGTTTGTGTTGTGTTTGTGATCCTTTTGAATAACCCGTATACGTTGGTAAAAATTAAACAAGTCAAATTTTAAATGTTAAAAGTTATTTTTTAAGCGCTTTCGGTCCCTCAGGGAGCGTCCCTCGTCCTTGAAGGAGGACCCCTCGTCCTTTAAGGACGGCCCCATCCGGTGCCGCCCCGCCACCCACCACGGAGTGCCCCCTCCCCCTCTCCCATCTTCTCTTACCTTCGCTACGCCGTCTCTTTTCTCCGCTGCCCCCTCTTCAACCTCGGCTTCATTCAGGTCTCCGTCCCCCCCCCCTCGCGTCTCTCTCTCTCTCTTTCATTGTGCCACCCTGAGGCCCGAACCCTCTAAATGAAGCATCCTGCCGCATCCTGCGCGACCGAAACGCATCAGTGTTGTCTGGCCCTTTTTAGGCGGCCGCGCGTCCCTTCCTGTGTGTGTCTGTGTGAGTGTAGGTGTGTGTGTGTGTGTGTGTGTGTGTGTGTGAGTGTTCTCCAGCGGCGGCTTCGCGAAATGGGGAGCAAACGCGGCTCGAAAGGCGGCCCCGCTAGATTGGCCGGCCAAAATAAAGCAGCGCGCCAAACGTCGTTCACGTCGTTCGCGTCGTTCTTTTGCAACGGTCCGCCGCCTTGCCGTGCAGCCTTGCAGTGCAGCCCCCAGAGCAAAGAACACGCCCCCCCCCTCCTTTCCACCTATCCACACAGAGTTTCAATTTCCTTTCGCCTTCACCGAGTTCCACGCCGTTCCACGCCGTTCCGCGCGCACACACACACAATACCCGTTCGCATTTTCACGTGGCAAACACCTGGCAATGAGGCAAATGGGCAAATACGGGGCCCGGCCCCGTCCGGGGTCACGGCCAGGGGGATGCTGCTGCTGCACCAGGATCCCCAGCGGGGTGTTCGTCTGTCTCTCTCGCACTCCTAGGAGACGCCCGTGAGTGCGAGGGAGACAGAGCGACGAACTCCGTGTTCGGAAAGCGCCTGCAGCAGGCCGTGTCCGGAGAAACGGATTTGCGGGCCCCGCATTCAGCACACAGCGGGCGTGGCGTGGCGTGGCGTGCCGAGCCGCGCGCAAAATCGAAACCAGCTCGCTCCCACGACAAGCTTATTATTGGCTTTTCCTTCCCTTTCTCCGCGTCACGGTGCGTGCCCGCCGAGCCTGCCGTGTCCTTCCTTGCCGTCGGCTTGCCGTGCAGTGTGAGCAAAATGGGCCGAAAGCCGTAGAGGCAGCCCGCTAATGAAACAAAGCGCCACGCCCGCCCGCCCGCCGACACGCGCGGAACTACGCTGTCAACGCGTCACGACGCGCCGTGACGGCCGTGACACGTCGCACGCACTGGCTTGACCCTGCGTGTGTGTGAGAGGGAGAGAGAGAGAGAGAGAGAGAGAGAGAGAGAGAGAGAGAGAGAGAGAGAGAGAGAGAGAGAGATTCGCGACCATCGTCCGGACGAAACGGGGCGCGGGCCGCGCGGTTTCTCATAGTAGCGGCAGCAGCGCAAGGCGCCAGGCGCTGCCGCCACGCTCCGGTCACGCCAACATTCAATGTTTGCGGCCGGATCGATGGTAAATGTGTACACTTTGGCCCGGCGCGCCGGCACTGGGGCGGGGCGGGGCGGGGCGGGGCGAGGGCGTCGAATTGAGATGGATGGAATGCGTGTCTGTAAATACCGCTCGGTTGACTGACGGGGGAGTGACGGCCGACGCGGCGGTGTGGCGGTGCGCTGCTTGGCCGGGCTTTTATCAATCCTGCCAAGTGGCATCACACTGTCACACCTTTATCGGCTGCCGCTGTTCCCGGAGGACGAGTTTGAACTCCAGTCGGCGCCGGTCGGCCTCCGAGTACGGCACACTGTACACGAGTCGGACGACTGCAGGGGGTGCGAGAGAGACGGAGCGTTGGTCAGGAGGTTGAGGCCGCGGTTGAGGTCGCGTCCTCCAGCCGGGCACGCTTCGCTTTGGCTGGGGTGGCGGCTTACGGACGGCCCCAACTTGTTGAAAATAGCCGCGTGCGATGCCGATCCTGGAAATAGCGCGCCGCCCCGCCGGGCCGGGGCACCCAGCCAGCCACTCCAGAGGCCAAGGGTCACCGCCCTGCCTGACCCTGCCCGGCCCTGCCGCGCCGGAAGCCGTGGAAAACAAAAAAGCTTGCTATGCCAAAGGTGACCGGCGGTGGAACGAACGCTTCTTGCACGACCGACGCTCTGTTTTTCGCTGTTGTTTTTTTGTCGTTCGGCACACGCGACGCGGCGGCCGCGGCGACAAACGATGATGACGCCGGGGAAAAGTATTCTGCACCGCCAGTCGGCAGGGCACGGCAGGGCACGGCGGTGACCAACGCCACTTCCTCCCGAATGAATGCGAGCGGCCGTCGGCACGCCGTCGGCACGCCGTCGGCACGCCGTCGGCCCGTCAGCGAATTCTGTCGATGGGCGTGGGAGCGCGGACCGGCCGGCACCGCGCTCATTCCGCAGTCGCGGCGTCGCTCTGTCTCTGTCGCACTCCCTGCCGGCGTCCGCGCGTCCGCGGCGGTGCGAGCGAGACAGAGCGACGACGCGATTCTTCGGAAGGCTGGCCCCACGGGCAAGGCGCGGTCAGCAGAGGAAGTCGCGCTGCGGGGGAGAGAGTGAGAGGGAGAGAGAGAGAGACAGAAGACGCGCACGTGGCAACGCTGCAGAGTGCTGGACCGGCTGGCTGGAGTGCTGCTGGAGCGCGCTGGAGTCGCTGCAGCCCCCCCACCCCTTCCTTTTCACGACGGCCAGGTGTGTCAGAGTCATGAATGAGATGGGGCGAGACCGTGGCCGCCGTCTTACACATTCATTTAGGCCGCGGTGGGTTGGCTTGGCTTGGCCGGGCGCTATCCGCAGGGCGGAGCGTCTGCCAATAGTGATTCCCCTGCGAATGCGGGCCTGCGCCGTGCGGCCGGACGCTGGACGACGCGGACTCGGTGACTCGGCCCCGGGACTCGGCCGGCCGGGATGAATGGGCCAGATAAAGAAGACAAAGGCAAGGAAGTGTCGGCCGGCGGGCCAGGGCAGCCAGGGCCAGGCCAGGTAGACGGACTAAGACGCGCTGCGCAGGTGAGCGTGCCTGGCCGCCCGGGCGGCCGGCCGACCGGCGGGCAGGCAGGCCGACAACCGGACGGACGGACTGTAATGAATGAGGGTGGCGCGGCCTACACTGCCTACACGGCACACACAGTGCACACACACAGCGACACGCTGCACAAACAGGCAGCCCGGTCGGCCCGTTACGTGGCCGCACCGATCGTGTCGGGATTTGGTTGGACGGGGACAAAATTCCGGAGGGATTGTCGTAGTGTCGGGATTATGTGGCCGGGCTGCCTCGGCCCCGCCGCGCTGTCCGATCCAGCCCCGAGATAGGCCGGAAAGGGAAAAGAAAACACTCTGTCTCCCTGCGGCCGCGCTCCGCTTTGCAGTGGTGTGGTCCGTCGGGGTCGTGACCCCGCCGCGTAGGCGTGGACACAAATGAAAGCGCCACTACAATGTCGTGGCGCCGGTCGATCGGGAACGCGCACACCTATATTCTGGCCCTTGGTGACACGCCCCCGCACCCCCACCCCCTGGGCCCCGCCGGCCCCGCCCCGGGCGCAGGGGGGCTCATCTGGCCCCCAACATTGTGGACACACCCTGGATTAAGAGCCATCACTCGGTAAGTACGTAATTCCAAAGAGCTCCCGAGTCAGTTTAGCACCACTCGGGCACTCGGGCCAGTTCTTTACGAGTTTCGTCGTTGCTTCCCTTGATGGATTCTAGTTGAGATGCAGAAGGCGCGCTTCCCTTCCCCGCCCCACCCCGCCCCGCACAGGCCTAGGGCAGCGTCATCGGCCGCGCTCGCTTTTAGCGTTACGGGTTCAAGGGAAGCTGGTAATTTTCCGCGCGGGGCAGCGCGGCAGCGCGAGGTGTTTCCTGGGAAGATCTTTCACTTTTAGCACCTCATTTGGCGCAGCGTGCGCAACGTGCGCAGCGCGCCGGGCGGGGGAAAGGGAAACCTGCGCGGCCGCCGCGGTGCACAGCCTGCCCAGTGTACCCGCCCAGGCCTGCCCGGCGAAGCGATGATTATTGGAGCCAGACGAGGAAAGCGCGCTCAGAAAGAGAGCCCAACAAATACGCGATCTTTCATTTTAATTTATTTTTCGCGCACCCTGGAAACGACACTGTAAATCATGTCATTTTTCTCGGATTTGGACAAACAGGCGTAAAAGATCGTTCTGCGACTGCACTTGTTTCGCCTCCCCGCCCCTTCCCCGCAGCAACGCCTGCAGCGCCACGGTTGCCGGTGGCCGCCTGGGCAACTACCGCCCTTTCTCTCTGGGGTGGCGGTGGCGGCGGGCGGCGAGACACGCGGTTTGTCGGTTCAGCGGTTCTTTGCAATGGTGAAAATTGTGTAATTTACTCATATCATATTTGAAGTGCGGCGTGTTTCTAATCCGAGTGACAGTGGCAGCATTCCGGCACGCATAAAGGATGAGGACCAAAGAGTGATTGTTTGTTTTGACCTTGAAACAAAGGTGGTGTGTGTCCCATAACCTGCAAACCTTGAAGATGGATCGACGGATCGGTGACTCAGCCTCAGCCGAACCCAAGCAGCGTTGAATGTGTACAATTGGAATCGCAAA